CGCTCATGAAACAGAATCTCTCTGGAGAGGAACTAGGGTCTGGCAGATCACTACCAAGTAGAATAATCTTGCTAATAGACTACAAATTTATGAAGAAAGGGTTTTTTTCTGCATTTGTTGCTAAGCTTGGCAGATAGCTCCACACATTTCCTGCAAGACTGTGGATGGAAATGCAACAGAGAGAAGGAGTAGAGCAAAATAAATATTTAAAATTCAATATGAGGGATTAGAGAGCTAGCATGGAGTGTCATTTCTAATGAGAACCAAACCAAAACCCTCAGGATAAGTAAAAGTCCAGAATAATTACTTGTCAAGTATGTTAGATGGGAAAAGAGACCCAAAAAGAGCTGAGTTCTAGGTGTTCTTCCTGAAGATAACTTATTCCAGAGCACTTTCTTTTAAAGAATTCCTACCAGAGCTGCTCTACTTCTTATAAATTATTAAATCTTAATTGACCCAGAAGATGATTCTAAAGCCTGGGATAAGGCTGCAGTCCCCTCTCTACTTTGTTCCTGGAATTGCCCAATGAATAGGTAATTATGTGCACAAGATGGAACCACTTTTAGCAGTGAAGGTTGAATGGAAACTCCTGCCTGATGGTTAGAGGGATCCCCTGGGAGGTAAAGACCCAGATTCTAATGTTTGCTTGCATCAGGTCGGTTGGGCACATGACTCATATATCCCCAGTGAGTTTCCTAGTTTCTCAGAACATGATTCATTTTATTTAATTTTAGCCATCTAAAAGCAGGGCTTCTAGTCTGAATTACTGACTAAAGAAGAAACCTAGAATGCTAACTAAGAATAAATGCCAGACTTTGAGACAGTAGAAGCCAGGTGAGGTAAATCTCTCCCTAAGCTGCTAGCTATTTTTTCTGTCTGTGGTTTTGACCAGAAATTCCACCCTAGATGTAAAAATGTTCCTCATCAAACAAGTTTCCATTAAATGCTTCCTATTGAACAAAACGACATTTTCTGTCTGGAAGAATATTGTGTTGAAATATTTCTGAATAGCTACGATACTCTGAGGAGTTTCACAGCTCAGAAATCTGGTAAGGGGTAAAATAAAAGCTCAGGAGCAGCAATAAGAAGTGTGGTAACAGTGACTGAAATAAATTCATTATATCCAGAACATTGTACGAGTTACTGACATAGCTCCTGATTTCTTCCCATAATCTTCTCTAAGTTTCACTTTTAGGAAACACTTCAGATTTCTAAGATCAATACTATTTCCTCATGAGGTTCAGAATGCTTGAGGGCTTATTATTTGGTTGGTTCTTCATCACATGTAACATCCAGAGTATTTATGGACCTCTGCCATTTCTTGAGCATATGGGAAGTGTTGACAAAATCCTGTGGTCAGCCAGTCCTCTCTGATGTAAATAAGCTGCCATGGGACCCCCTTATCAACTCAATATTATTATTTTTTTTTCAAATAAGGAGAATTACAGGCCCTTCCACCATTTTGTAATCAACATAATGACTAAATTATATTGAACAAATTGAAGTTAATATCAGATGTTACCTTTTGCCTTTGTACTCAATCTGTAACAAACGAGCAACAAAAATTTGTTATCTTCCCCTAGCAATCGCTTGGCTATTCTTTTTCAACAGGCAGTTTGGAAACAAAGAATGTGGAAACAGGTCCAGAAGTATGAATCTTTGCCATGAAGCTCAGCTTTGAAAGTGCAAAAATATGTTTGTGTTTGCTTTATCTGAATTGATGGGAGTTAAAAGCATAGCTATTCAAGCACTTCATTCCCCTTACTGAAACATAATTACTTTCAGTCAGAGTCTGAAGTGCGCCTTCAGAAACCTACTTTGTCAGCTATCTGTCAATAATTGTAAATTACTTGGAGGTGAAAACTTTCTGGAAGATGGTAAATATTGTTAAGCATTGCTGTGCATGTTTCTTACAGTGTCCAGGAGGAGCCTTCACACCTAATATGAGGACAACCAAAGAGTTTCCAGATGACGTTGTGACCTTCATCAGAAATCACCCTTTGATGTTTAATCCCATTTACCCAATCCACAAGAGGCCGTTAATCATCCGGATAGGAGCCGACTACAAGTATACAAAGATTGCTGTGGATCGAGTGAATGCTGCTGATGGAAAATACCATGTCTTGTTTCTTGGAACAGGTAAGGCAAACTTAGCAACAGTCATTCTCCTCCATTGCATTATAATTTGCAATCAACTCCAATCTGTACAATTCATAGCTTTCAGAAATGTTTGAATGTATTTGCCATCTACAAAAATGTCTCTAGAAATCCATAGATTATGCTCTTCTTTTCTGTGCATTTTTATGTTTCCCATAGGCGTTAATTATGTGCAAGAGATAAGACAGGAATTTTGAGACAGGATTCAAAACTAGTGTATATTTTACTCTATCTAAATTATAATACTTCTCCCATCAGAATTTTATGTTCTTTAACATGAGTAGAAATACCAAAATCTGGCTTTGTATTGTTTTGCATACTCTCATAATCATTATATAATATATGCTGTGTAAGTTACTTCTGAAGAAAACACAATCTGATCAGGATGTTACAAAGGCAGAAATAACAACTTCATTCAAAAAAGCCAAACCAAAACCAAACAAAAAAAAGTTAAAATATGGAAGCATTTAGCAGAGAAAAAGAAACAAATGCTTTGAGTCCTAGTAGTAGTGGACACAAATAATTTGATCCAACTATTCTAAAATAATTTCTGACTAATACAGCATACATTTTTATTTTACTTACATCAAATTTGATCTGGTGCTATGCTTCTGAAATCTGCAGGGAGCAGGCCAAGTGGTTCTCATACTGATCAATTTTGATTTTTTAAAATATTCAGATATGAATCACACTCTTCTGATTGAAGCAGACAAGTGGAGTGGTACTCTGACTAGACCCAAGGATTCGTTCACATCTGAAACTCCTGCTGGCTTAACAGGGCATTATAGGTTGATAGGCACAGAGGCTAATATTTTTTTACTACAGATGGTTTCAAGTAGAACAAAGGAAAAGAACTCTAGGAGAACAAATATATCTCTGAACATCAGAAAATAATTACAGAGATGACTTGCATTGCTTTTATGCTTGACATTTTATCGGGGTCCTGGTAGTGTTCTGCTTGTAGAATAGCTACATTTGCTAGCAAACTCACATGGGGCTGGGAATAACCATCCTGTTATAATAGATTTAGGAAGCTGGTGCTAAAAAAATTCTCAAGAATGTCAGGTTTCTGTAGGGGCAGGATTAAAAGGAACTCTTCTTAGAAAAACTTGCCCAGATCAAAATCAGTGGGGTGCCTTATCCTGAAGGAGGCCAGCTGCATACTGTACTCTGTTAGCAGACTGTATGCAACCAGTGGATTGCTGGAAGGGATTCTGCCCCTGTATTCAGCTCCTGTCAGGAGTACCATGTCCAGTCATGGGCTCCCCAGTCCAAGGAAAACATTGACATAACAGAACAGGATCAGCTGAGGGACTGTAGTGTGTGATGTATGAGAAGAGGCTGAGAAAATTTGGTTTATTCAGTGAAAGCTAAGGGGAGACTGTATTGCTGTTGACAACTATCTCTTGAGATAAACAGATCTGGACTCTTCTCAAGGTGCTTGGTATCAGGGAGAGAGGCAACGGACACAAGTTGCCAAGTGAGACATTGCAATTAGATATAAGGGAAAGAGTGGTTTGGGTCTTTTAAACTGTCATTGTGGTTAAACAGTGGAACAAGGGCCCAGAGAAGCTGTGAATTCTTCTTCCTCAAAGATTTAAAACCCAAACCCACATGGATCCAAGCAACCTTCTCAAATTGGACCTGCTTTGAGTGGAGGACTGGACTTCTAGAGGCCCCCATCCAGCCTACAGGTTCTGTATTTCAATGAAAGGAAACAGGAAAACAAAAACGCTTTGCTCACGTTCTTGTGTCAAACGCTTTCCGGGTCACCATCAACTGCACTGGGAATGCTTAATATACTGTAAGGTATACTCAGAGTAGAGGAGCTCTGAGTAATGGAAATTAGGAAAATTAGGAATTTCTTCAGGTTTTGGTTTGGGTATTTTTGTTTTCTTGGTTGGCAGTTGATAAATGACTTTTAAGGTGTTCTTGAAGATTTCTTTAATCCTGCTTGCAGAGTCATTGGAAACTACCAAATTAAGCTAATTAGGAAAGAGGTTTTTTTCCCCCCTCCCTAACCTGTAACCAGATTTTAGTTTAATTAATCTAACCACAGTTCTTCACTTTGGGATTCTTTATGGTAATTTTCCTCCTTTCCTACAGAAGTAAATAATCTTTGTACACTACTGGAGAAAGACCAGAAGTGCTAATACATATTGTCCCTACTACTGTTATAGAACTCCACAAGAACTCTTAGTAAAAGAGAAGGTTTGGTTTTCTGTTAGCTTTGTTCCTTGTCAAATCACTGTTTATCCAGAGTAGGAGTTTGGTAGGCTAATACAGATTATTCAAATGAACATTTTAGGTTTTATTGTTTTTTGTTTTGTTTTTTTTTTTAATATAGTGGCACAAATGTTTTAAAATGCTCTATAAAATTGGAGGAAAATTGTAAAGATTACTAGAAAGGGTAAGACATACATTTCCAACCAAAACAGGATTCTTAATGTAGCAGTGATAGTTAATACTGGAAAAGCACTGAAAATTTTAGATGTGCTTGAAAATGCATAATATTGATATTTAGCATTTCCATGATTCAGCAAGATATACAGTTCAATTAATTTTATACTTTGATTAACTTCTGACTGCTTTTAGATGATCATTGTGACCTTACACATATACCTATGATTCATTAAAAACATTGACATACCTCACTTATTCTTAAGTATTGTTAATTCTCTTCTGTGAATAAGCACGGGGTTCCTCATAGAGAAATACGAAAACAGCAGCTCTTGATATTTTATATTCATTGCTTTATCTTCCACATCACACTAGGGACAAGAATCAATGTCTGCTTTCTAATTACTTGGAGAGGAGGCATTATTTTCTTAAGTAGGGCACAGGGCATTAATATCTTCCAAGGTCTTCCTCAGAAGGTTCAATGTATGTTACTGGATTTCTCAGCCCTTTTAAATCAAAGTGATCAAGTTTCAGCCACTGAAAGGAGAAACTGTTTTTCTTTATTCTCTGCTTTCTGTGAGATTCAGGAGGATTTGATAGAGATATTAACTGTCAAAAGGAATGCAAAGGGGATTTGCTTTGGTGTCAGTTTGTCCCTGCAAATGCAAAAACCACATTGTATAGGAGAATTTCATGTGATAATTTCCTTGGGAGCCTGGAGCCCCACAGCCAAAGACAATGGGACTTGACACCTGGTGACAATTACAGTCAGCTTGGATGATGAGTTACTGCTGCTGAACTGAGATGTTGCTAGCCGTGTCTGTCACTGTCAGTGACCTGTCTCATGCTTGAAATTGGAGTGTTTTATGTCTTGCCAGATGCAGAGCACACAAAATGTTTAGCTTTTCTTCTTTTCCTCCTCTATAGCCTCAGTAATAAATCAGTTCCTGGATGCAAGTGAAGAATAACAGAAGTATAAAGCTCCAAGAACCCCAGTGGTTTTCATCATGTAGCCATGGCATGAGAGGGTATAGGCAACTGTGTCATTTTTTCACATTAATGGGAACTAAATGTAGTGTTTCCTTTGCACTCCCAGACAAAAGTGCTGAGCTCACAGGGGCTGGTCCGTGCCCAAAGTTAATATGCTGCTTTTGCTTTTCTCCCTTGCTAGCCTAAATAGCTAACAAAATAAATCCCAGGGACATTGTTCTTACAGCATTCCACCCTCTTATGAAATGATAATTATCTCTTATTTTCCCTGTGCTTTTCAACCTGAAAACTCCCAAAGCACTTAAAAAAACATGCAAGTTTTGTTAAGTCCACCCAAAAAGATCTCTTCACCCCCTCTGAAATGAGTTGGTTTAGAGTAAGGAGGAAGTTTTAACCATAGAAAGCAGTGCTACAATGGACGAGTGCTGTGTACCTCCTCTAGCCAAACAGAAACCTGAGGGACAATTTACTTGGATATAATGTAATCACTCATTAGCATGTTTGACAAGGGTGATGCTGATGATAGTTTTTCCCTATGCAATATGTAATAACATAATATGTCATTTTAGTTATATATAAAGAACCAAAGCTTTCAACATTTTCCATTTATCCTTTGGTAGCTGGTTTCCCATCTGACTTTTAAGAACGGCAGTAAAACAGCATGAGAACATTTTCCTGAGATTAATATTTATTTTTTAAGCACCACCTACTGCTTGCACTACGAAAGCCTTCGGTCAGAGTACACGTAGATTACGCAACGAAAAGATTATGCATGGGTTTTTTTATTGCTCTTGGTGTTATGAAAATATTTAAATGTCTGGGTCAAACTTGGGTACATTAAACAGCCATGGGCACCAATAGGATTTTTTTCACCTCCTTGCTATTAAGATAGGATATGTTTCTGTGGAAAGAGATCTAAGTGACTGTCATGAAAAGGCACTTCAAATTTCAGTGTGGTTTATTCAGATGATTAATGTGGGCCACATGCATCTGATGTGGCATGGTGTTTCTTATTATCTTTTCCTCTCTGATGCAACAGTTATTTTCAAATACTGGATGCAGTAAGTGCCTTCAGAGCATAACTTTGTAATACTTGTTTTCATGGTGTTAGATGATGCCTGTCTCTTTAGAAAACCAACCCTTGCTGACAACAGTACCCTCCAGTAATGCAATAGCCAAAATCATGTAATGAGCTACAGGTTCTAAGGGAGAGAGATAATCTGGTCAGAAGAGAAGGTTTGCCTCCCATAGATTCTCTGGCTACAGCTTCGTGACTGAGCTTGGGAAGATGATGTATCACAGCAGCACAACAAGCAGCAGGCACAGTTTTCTTCTTCCTCTTGGTCATATTGCCTGAGTCATTAAAAATCTTTCATTGGCCAACTCATCCAAAACCTTTTTGGTAGCCTTTTAAGAAGATATATAAGTTAAGAAGGCATTCCTTCACCTACTTAATTTTCCGTGTTCAGTTTTTGTTTAAACAAGCTCATAGCGTGTCCCAGAAGTTTGACCAAACTGGGGCTATGTGACAGTTTTGCCCTCAAGTGTGAGCTCATCAGACATTTGTATCTGCCTTTTTGGTCTTTGTTGCAGCTTCAAATGACTTTAGAAAATTTCAGAGCAGTAATATGAACTGGAAAAAAATTACACCCATTTGACAGATAAGTGAACTGAAGCACAGAAAGGTAATGTGGCTGTTGGTGGGAGCCCTGACTTGGAGCAGACACCTAAGAACAGCAAAGAATGAGAGGACTTGGTTCTCAGCCCTGAATGCTAACCTGCCACCATCTCAGGTGTTCTGCTGAGACTCAACATTTTCTCAATTTTAAGCATTTAAAATGTTAAGCATTCTGCAGAATGTTTGCTTTCTTTTTTGTTATTTTATGTTTGTATCAGGTTCGACTCAGATTAGAGGCCAAAAATAATTACGCTGCCATCAGGCTGACAGGTACAACATGGAGAATAGTTTTCAAAGGGTCTCCAGTAATGTCTGACACATCAGGGAGAGGGATTACTGCAGGAGGCCTATGTGAAAGTCCTGGCAGTGTAGCAGTTAGTGTCCACTGCAGACATTTTTCTATGATGTGGAAAAGTCACTTTTTAAAATTTATTTGTTGTTCAATTGATGTGGCTCAGGGGTGGATGGGTCTTGACTCTCTTTGAGGATCACAACATTTACAACTGCAGTATTCACTTAGGGCTGGGGAAGAAAAGCTAGTAGAAGTTCAGAGAATGAGATTTAAACTCAGACTTGCAGATTGAGCTTCTGTAATACAGATTCCAGCCAAAGACCTGTGTATTTTTCATTGCTATTCATTAAGCTTTTATTTGCTTTTTCCACTGTCAGCTAGACCAGGAATTAGTGTGTCCAAGTGGTATCCAATGAAGCCAATGAAACTTAGCATATTAATAACTGTCCAGAATCACAGAATCACAAAATTGTCAAGAATTAGAAGGGACCTCTAGAGATCATCTAGTCCAACTCCCCCACTAATGCAGGATTGCCCAGAGCACATTACTCAGGACTGCATCCAGGTGGGTCTTGAATATCTCCAGAAGAGGAGACACTCAGAATAGGAGATAAAATGCCCTCCATTTCAAGGAATTTAGAGTGTTTGTATTTTTCTTTTTGTTATTTATTTGTCTCACCTTCCTTGGACCATGTATTGAAATGCCTTCTTCCTGCATTTATTTCCCTCTCTGCATACTCTCTACATCATTTTTTAGCCTATAGGATGTTTCCTCCCTTGCCATTCCCTCTTTCTTGGTCCTCTCAGACGAAATGTGATCTCAGTCACATTGTCATCCATGACAAGCTGGGAGACTGCAGTTATTCAACCAGGTTTGAAACAGAAAACCAATCATTATGAATTGCCCTTGTCTTCTTGCTGTCAGCTTGAGGGAGATTCCTTCTTGTTTGTCTGTCTGCTCTCAACTCACAAGCTGCTGGGCTGATGCGAAGCTGTAAACAGCTCTTGGTGAAAAGTCAGGGAAATGGTGAGCATAAATCTGCCTCTTCACTTCATATATTTTAGTGGTGAATTGATACGCTGGAGACACAGAAGATTTTTTTTTCATGACTATGTGAAATCATAACAGTGTAGAACTGTTTGCAAGTCGATTTCTGGAAGTAACACATAAAAAAGAAACCAGCCTGTTCGCTTTTATCATTTTTACAGAATGAGCTCATAGTTTCATACATTGACCTAAACATGCAAAAAAATTGTCTTGTACTTGTTTGATGATTGCTTATGCCTGGCTTACAACAAAAAAAATATTATGTATTATGAAATACACTGGGAAACAGCTCAGAAACTGCTACTTTGCATATTTCTCCTACAGTGCAAAGTGATGCATCCTTTCCAAACTACCTTCTAACCCAGGGAATTTAGTTTGCTACCTTGCCATTAAAGGAAATAGAAAAACTCAGATGTACCATAAGCTTTCTGACGTGGACACAGATAAGTGCTTGATTTGTTAGCTACTGTGCTTATGATGGAGACATCAGTACTAATGAGATAAGGAATAAGAAGTGTTTTCTGGGCACAAATATTCGCTTTGCATTTCATAAGAAGCAGGCTGAGAAATAGAAAAACTTCAGAAGGATTGCAGGACTAGAGCCTACAAGCCATGTATTGTTGGAATTATGTAGCTTTAAATGGTTGCACTTACTGAATAGCTTTTTATTGACCACTTTCCCCAACATGAATATTTATTTCAAATGTTGTATTAAGTTTACTAATTCCTTTAAAACATTGGAACATTCCTTTCTGCAACAATCTGTCCCTCATGGTACCATACTGAGCCAAAGTGTATGATAAAATATGTAGTCAAAGGGAATGAATACCAAGGTAAACAGTCCTTAACTCTGTGTATTTTGCTGGGGTGTGACAAAAGGGCAGATAGGAACCTAGTTTTCAAATAGGAAAGTTTGTTAGGACACAGGGTCTTGGCGTCAGGCATTATCAGTATTTTCCATGCCAGTGCCCAGGATAAAATCTCCCCTCAGGTTGTGATTTCAGTTTGAGGCAATGTTTGAAGACCAAAGACAATTAAGGAATTTTAAATGTGTGGCATGTGCTAATGGGTCATTGAAATAACCCAGTTCTTCAGAGGCTCAGCAGACTCACATTCCTTTGCGGGTAAGGTCACTGTCAACATGCTCAGTGCCCCGCATATCAGGGTCACAGGTAGTTGACACTGCAGGCAGCTCTAAAAAAACCCAAAACCCAAAAGGCTCCAACCCCTTCCTGCGTGTCTGATGCTGTATTTTGTATGGTATAGTTTAATCTTAGGGGGAGACCATTGAAAAAAGGATGCAAAGAGGCAGACTGGACCTCAGCTGTGTCTATTTGTGAGTGGATTATTCCCTTTAGTAAGTGCAGAAATACACAGACCTGCACACACTTCTACTTAGCTCCAACAAAGGATGCGTCTGCAGCAGTTTAAAGCTTTGGTGGGTCCTGGCAGTTAGTAAATCTCTCCCAGGTTCTTACAGCTTTGCTAATACTGGCACCCAGTCTAGACTACAGCTGTGCTATCACAAGATTCAGTTTCAGTAAAGCTTTTTTGGAAGGAACTGGTTATCATGCCATTGTATAATGAGAATAAACATTCTCCTTAGAAAATTCTCATGAAAAATTTATGCCAAACATGCCCTGAACATGTACAATTGATAGCTACACATTTTTAAGTCTTGACAGCTTTCAATTTCTCTTTTCTTTTTTTTTGTTCAGATCACAAAATACTGCTGTGTGTGCTCTGTGTGTGGTCAGGTCATTACATATCAATATTCTGGCTCTAAACATTTTTTTTTAAAATAAAATATATTATTATTTGTTTACTTCCTCCAGGGAAATAAGAAGATGTAAATTATTTACTGTAACCAACTTGCCCTGCAGCTCCTGCCATGGAATTTAGTCACTGACCTTAAAAGCAAAAGAAAAATTGCCCTTTTTCAGTTCACATTGTCTGCCTCATGAATTGCCAAACAGGAAGCTGGATTTCCTTTCCTTGGTTACAAATTCATAAAAATGCATGTAGATAGTTACCTATATTGTGCCTGAGTAATGTTTTACTAACCACACAAGTCTATGTTAGCCATAAAGTTTTTGAAGGCCAAACAGAATCTATACCATGTGGTCTCATTCCTCAAAATCAGTATCAAGCAAATAAATGTATTCTACTCACACTAATTTCCAGGCCTCTCAGACAAGAGGAATTCTATGTGCTTTTTCCAAGTAAAAATGCTTGTCCTTGTGCTTCTCCCACGGTCTGCCTTTTCTGCCACTTCAGAAATACTTCAGTGGCTGTCTCAGCCTTTAACAGCCTTCACAGATGGACCCCTCCATCTCACATATTCTTTCCACAAAATAAATTTGGAAAACCAGTCACAAACATCCCTTTGTTCTCACTCATCACATCTACCCTACAAAAGCACTGCCGTTGCCCCATCCTTCTTTCTCCTTTGATCTGAATGGATTTGGGAGGCTTGGAACAGCATTTTGAGAGGGCAGCCATGATAGAGCAGCTGTAATATCTTCACCACTTGTGGACCAAAATATTAACTCCTACCAATATGTAACAGACTTGATTATTGTTTGACTTTCCTGAAAAAAAAATAAATAAAATGTTTTCCTTTTACTTGATTTAGGTATAGATAGAGTTATTCTTTGGAAGTTTCACCCTTCCTGTCACCAGTTGTCATTTATTTTTTAAATTAATATGAATATATATATTACATTCTGCAGCAGCTCCCAGTTACCTGTGTATATTGGTCCATCTTTACGATCAGCTAGTACTGCCTCTGTCTGTGTGCAGCAACTAGTACAGAAGATACTGATTTGATTGATCTTCTTGGTTAGAACGTAACAGTGATAGCAGTAACTCAATCTTACCATGATTTTTTTCATGTTCATACATGAGAATAATATCATATAGAATATTCCTATATAAGGAATCATCTCATGAGTCTTTCTGACCCCAAACCCTAGAAATTACTGAACATTTCTTACCTTTCTCTATGTGATAGTGCCTTGATGTTCCATTCATAATTGATAATGGTTCATCTGCTTTTATATTTCTGTCTCTCACTGTCACTTGGTCTCACTTTTTCTGATCTTTTCCAGATCAAGGAACCATACAAAAAGTTGTTGTCCTACCCACCAACTTCTCTGCAAGTGGAGAACTCATTTTAGAAGAGCTGGAAGTTTTTCAGGTTTGGCTTGCTCCTACTTTTATTCTTCCAATGTGTATGTTCACACAAACACTTTGTTCTAAGAGAATTTGGCAAGGGCAGCTGAGACTCAATAAAAGATCAAGTAAATGTGCATACTGTCAGCTTGATACCCACCCAAAAAGGAGTATGAAATGTCCACTGTTATGAAGGCTATAGCAGGCTTAAGTGCTTTTTTCCCTCTATATTTAAGTTGCTTATTTTTATGATGTTGTACTGGCTAGAAGAATTTTGATAGTCACATTTTCACAAGGTCATGTTATAGTGGCTGCCAGAAGGCAACTTTTATAATTGGCATCACATATTGACACTTGTTATTTACAGATGGAGTGTACTTTTTTTGTACTTTGATTCTCTGATAATCTTCCTGATTCTAAGCTGTCGAATGGGAGCAAACTAGTCTAGTTTTTTGCTTAACTCCAGTTCTTCAAAGCCACGTGCCTCTGGATTCATGAAAGCTGCAAGCTTAACAAAACATAAGCTGAAAAGAAAGACAAACAACTATAGTGAGAAATAAGGGAGTAGCCTCTGTCAATCACTCTGGCATGTAGCAGATTATAGTAACCCAAAGAAAATGTTCACCCTCATGTTGAAAAATCCCTTAAAAAATGTTGAATAGACTATTCTTTAAAATGGGTAGTCTCAGGGCAAATGGTAGTATGCATCTGTTAACTTAGTTAAGGGGTTTGTTGTGGGCTCTTCTGTATTTAATTGAGGGGTTACAAAAAGGAAGATTTCAGCTTTTTTTATCCAGACAGACAGCATTAAAAAATTCTTTAAGAAAAGGAATAGAATCTGTGTTAACCCTCCTAAAGACATAATTAGTCTTCCTAGGCTTTTCTTGTTGAAAACTTCTCTTTTAAAAAGATATATGTGAGTAACATTGCTTAAAGAGTACCCCAAGTACCTAGAGTAAATTCCTTTTACTGAAACATAAATTTATAAAGCAAGCAGATAGGTGGACAGAGAGGAATCTTTACCCCAAACCTAGTTTCTGGGCCTCTGTGCACAGGCTTTTTTATCTTGAACCCTTAAAATCATGATGTCATAATCTCTCTAGTTACACTCTGTGGAGGCAGCATGAGAGGATTTTGATTAGTCTCTCCAAGAGGAAAGGAATGAGATCACTGGCCCTGTGCTAGTAAATATCAGGAGTAAGCAAAGCTCTGATTCCTATCCAGAGTATAAGCAAGGAAAAGAGAATGTGGCATCAGATCCAATGTTGCATTTGACCTCAAGTCTCCAGACAGTTCATTAAATACTACAGCAGCTCTCAACTCCTTCAAACCTTTTCCAATTCACATGATTTGCAGCCAGATTTCGTAGTCCTGGCCTCCTTGCTCTGTAGCCCACTGCAGTTACTCCTGGCCCAGAGCTGTGGGTTTCCTTTGTGACTGAGCAAATGCTAAATCTTAAAAAAATGCTAAATATTTTTATTAAGAATTATTTTATCATTTGTCTGGATGAGAATAATGAATCACTTCACTTGCTTAAGGCAATGAATGTGATAATTCCTTTTCCAACTCTTTAACATTTGATTTGGACACAAACAGTAATAGACTTCAGTGATGACACACAGTAGTATACAATATTGTCTGGAGTAAAGAAGCATTCAATAACACACATGCCATTTTTAATATTCTAGTCATTGATAATCTGAAAATATATGTTGGATAGTAACCAAACTGTATGCACTTTAGATAATGTGTAGGAGAAATATGACATATTCTTACCTGGATTATGTGGTAAATATGCATGAGCTATTATACAATTTTTCTTTATCATCAGTGTCAAAGAACAAACGTTTATTTTTACAAAGTGAGAGTAATGGCTCAAAACACATGGCTCCTGTATTGCTGGGGTAACAAATGTTAGATGTTAGATGTGCACAAAATCTTTTTGATGCACATGAGTAACCACAAAGCAGTTGAGTTTAGCCAATATATTTAGTGAGACATTACTTGTATATATGTCATTTGTTTAGTTCTGAAAACAGAAGAAAAAAAGTAGGAGTGATGTCTTTTCAAGAAATGAAAAGTTACCATTTTCTTAGATATGACAATTTGTATTAAATTTTAATTTTAATGTTGGACAATATTAACAAGAGAGTCCTTGTAAATGCAGTTTGGAATTTTGTCTTTCAGAGTAGTTCTCCTATAACAACAATGAAGATTTCATCTAAAAAGGTAAACTGGAAAGTGTTTACTTAGTGCTTATTATTTGATAAATTGACCTAAAGATGTTAGAATAACAATCATTCTGCAGCATTCTCAGTATAGGCAGGAGATTTTCCATAATGAATATGGAGAAACTTGACTGAAGTTTGCATGACCTGCTTATAAACACCAGAGCCATTAAGATAAAAAAATTTCTATTTATTATGTATCACTTCTAATTCATTGAAAGGAACACATTGCTCAATATTTTACAAAACTACTAAGTAAACATTATTCACTAAATTGAATTCAGTGTTGTTTTTTAGGTGTATGACAAAAAAAAGATTAAGGGAGTTTCAAGGGTTTTGTTCAATATTTATTTATATTTTAAGAATAATTTATCATTTCTGAGCAAAAAAAAAGTAATTTTGGCCCTGATTTTGGTGACAACCTATTTGTTTTGAAATTCTTTTGCAAAAGCTCTCATTTATTATAAAAAGTTCTGTTGGCTTGCATTTTCCAGGTATATAAGGCTATCAGAATCTGGCCCTAAGCCTCAACATAATCTTAAGGATTTATGTCTTGAAGATCTATGCACTGGAGATTCCAACTATATATTTGTTATAGTGACTATATGCAGGGAAAATAATTCAAAGGCTCGAGCCAATAATCGTCACTGAGTAACAACCAAGTTCTCGATCTGAGCCATATTTACTCAGCCTGTCTGCCTCAGAACAGAACAATGACACTCAATGTCCAGAAAGCATTAACATTCCCTGGTGTTTTTAAGTATTTTCTAACAGGAAGGTGGAAATACTATAGACTTGTTCACCTGGGTGATTTCTGTTTGTCTTGGCTTTATCTGTATTAGCGGCTCCCCTCTTGGTCTTGAGTTAATTCCAAAATTAATTGAAATTAATTGAAAGGTTTTTAGGTGTGTTAGCTCCTCCACATCTGAAAGAAATCTTTCCATTTCCTTCTACAGCAACAGCTGTACGTGAGCTCAGACGAAGGGGTCACTCAGGTATCCTTGCATCGCTGCCACATTTACGGGACCGCCTGTGCTGACTGCTGCCTGGCCCGAGATCCTTACTGCGCCTGGGATGGCAACTCCTGCTCCAGGTTTTATCCCACAGGGAAAAGGTGAGCACAATGTAGCAGCCTAGTGAAGTCTGCAAGGAAAGAAGGCTTTTGTTCAGCTGTGTAGCCTGGGGTGTTGTAATACAACAGAGGAGTGGGTAGTAATTCCTTTCAGGAGCATGTACAAACAATGCTCCGTAGCCATTGTGCTTGGCATTGTTCATCACCCAGGAGTGTATGCTGCAAGAGTGTACGATAAAGACCTTGCCTTTTCATATTTAAAGTAATGGACTGGGAAAAAAACACATTCCTAATCATGAATATTAATCCTTCTGTCTCGTTCACACTAAACTGGTGAAACATTTGTTCCCTTTGCTTAAATTCATTTGCTTACTATGGGTGTAATTGTGATAGCCCTAAATACAGCAAAGTATCTCTCAGGCTGTCTGAGGAATAAACTCTTTTTTTTTTTTTTTTTTTTTTTTTTTTTCTCATTTGCTTCTAAGTGAGAAGAATTATTTTCAGGGAAGTTTTAGGCAAATTTTATTTCCATGTAATGCCTGTGGATTTGGTGTTTTTGACATGAGATTTATTAAAGCAGACAAGGAAAGAAATTTCTCTTTAATTTACAGCAGAGCTAATAGTCCATCTCATAATTCTTATGCAAAACAGGAGCCTCTTTCCTCCTCCCAAGGGCAATATTTAATAGCAGAGGGCTGTAATGAGCTCTTGTATTACTAAGATTTCACTTCATATAGAAACAAAGCTGGAGAGTACAAAATGACGTCTTACTGCAGAGACAAACCTTTCAGATAGATGCCAGAGTTTTACCCACTATGTGCCACTGTGCTCGGTGTCTGCAACTGAGCAGAAGACCAGAAACCTTCTAAGTGAGAAGAATTATTTTCAGGGAAGTTTTAGGCAAATTTTATTTCCATGTAATGCCTGTGGATTTGGTGTTTTTGACATGAGATTTATTAAAGCAGACAAGGAAAGAAATTTCTCTTTAATTTACAGCAGAGCTAATAGTCCATCTCATAATTCTTATGCAAAACAGGAGCCTCTTTCCTCCTCCCAAGGGCAATATTTAATAGCAGAGGGCTGTAATGAGCTCTTGTATTACTAAGATTTCACTTCATATAGAAACAAAGCTGGAGAGTACAAAATGACGTCTTACTGCAGAGACAAACCTTTCAGATAGATGCCAGAGTTTTACCCACTATGTGCCACTGTGCTCGGTGTCTGCAACTGAGCAGAAGACCAGAAACATGGGAGACAGCAGACAGAAAAAAGCAAAGCTATGCTCCAGTGACCCGACCACCTGATGACAGTGTCATCCCCGGGGATTAAAGACAATTTTTGTAATTGGAACATTTTATTGACTCATTTCTTATTTGAGATGAAAAAGTAAAACCCAACCATGTTGATAAAGTACCTGGAGTTTTTACTGCTTTCACTCAGTATATTCACCCACCAGTCTGCAAACGGAGTGTTTTCTTCCATGCAGCAAAGGTCAAAATACAGGGGAGGAAAGAAAAGAAAAATCACCAAGTCTTAGGCCACCCAACTCCTGCACTGCCAAAGGATATAATAAGCAGCCAATGATGCAATTTCCAAAAAGTGGATTCCTTGCCATCCCCATTATATACACCCAGGGTTATTTCCACTAGGGCTTCCTTTCATGCTGACATTTTGTTTGCAATTTGCTTTTTATATCAAACCAAAATAAACACCTAAAACTGTATGGAAAAAAAATATGTTTTTCACATGTAAAGGAAATAAGCTGTCCCTTTATCTAACAAGACAGCTTATGGAGAAAACATTGGTAATTAGAGCCAAAACCCATAGTCTAGACAGTAGTATCTGCTGGATATATTTGCTTCTTTTGACACTTCTGTCTCCTACGGATTACTGTGGTTCCTCATCCAACATTGATTTACCTCAAAACACCTGACAGTATTATCTTTTTTTTCTAAAACCCATCTTCTCAAACTTTTTTCTATAAATATCAAATTGTTAGTTTTCATTCTCAGAGCTGCCCAATGTAAGCACTGTGCCATTTCTGACAGCGTGGAGCAGCTCATGGTAGCACAGGAATCCTGAAATTCACTCAGAAATTCTTTGTCTCCTTTGACTCACATAAATCGTTCACAAAGGTTAAAATCCCAAGGCATAAGATGAAATATTTTTGGTAAACATCAAAAATATACTTGGAATGTCAGAAATTACCCCTTTGAAACATCTCCTTTCAAATGTTTCCTTTCAAAACAATACAGTGAGGGATCAGGTGACACACGATTGTAAACACTGTCTCTAGATGTTTGTGCAGTACCTGGTATAATGTGGCTACAGAGGCATCACCCTTCACTCAGCAGTATTGGAGCTCCAGAGGCTTTTTATGGTTTCTGATCTCAGGTGTCATTACTACATAGTTCAGAATGCAGCTGTTACATATCCCAGCAGCATCCATTTGCAACAGCCTATCACCAATATTTTTTTATATATATAAATATTGAACCAACTTACAAAATATTCAGTAAACAAAATAATACCTCTTAAGAAAAAAATATTCAGGTACTAGGTTTTCATGCACTGAATTCTGTGATCTAAGACTACCTCCTAGCCAAGGAGGTCTGAAATGCCAGTATTCCCACTCCCAGTAAGGTTCCTGGCTAGTTTGCTAGAGAATCATGATTTTGTATCTGTTGTCCAAATGATACAGCAAAGTATTCTAAGATTTGATGAGTCTGAGTATTTTTTGGAAATTGTCACATGAAGTAGAGGACTGGACTGAATCTTAGCTCTCCACCATTCTGGATGAATACTTCAGTTACTATGCTACCAAGGTGGCTACAAGCACTAGAAATATGGTGTCTGGCAATATCAAGGAGGGAACATGCCCTATATCATAATTTTCTGTTGGTGCATTATGTATGGGCACTGTGAACCTTACACATCTCATTCTTAGGTACTTGCCTTTAGGAGGAGTTCCAGCTGGGGCCTCCAGCTTTGAATGTTAGGTCTTGCAACAGTCAACATGTCTATTTTCTGCATCACCTCTAGCCCTTCCATCTCTGTGCCTCCATTGCAAAACTACTGTACCTACCAAAAGTACAGCCATTTTATAAACTTCAGCAAACAGATTATTCATTTAAGAAGTACCTTTACTGTAGGAGGCCTGCTAAGAGTAAAGCACAATCACAGTAGATCATGAACTAGCCTAAAGAGTTGATCTAGCAAAAAAAAATCAAAACCAAAACAAAACAAACAGGAACAACAAACAAAACAAACAAACAAAAAATTAACCCACAAAGAAAAATGTGTTTAGTTGCATTGTAACTATCTTGCAATAATATTTTGTTTTTACAAAATATTTCAGGAGGAGTCGTAGGCAAGACGTGAGACATGGAAACCCTCTGACTCAGTGCCGAGGTTTCAACCTGAAAGGTACTGTAATTTAGAGATCCTCATGCTATATAAAGAATGCTAGGCTTTCCTTTATGTGATTCATCATAACTCACAGTATCTGTGTGGTTACCTGGTAAAACATAATTGTTTTCCAAGTATGAGTTTTGTTTTTATTTGATTTTAACATCTTTCCTTGCAATTGCATAAAACTTCCATATATATGATAAAATGAAGAACCATGAAATGCATAGTTCAGTGTACATGAAATGAGAAGCTGAGAGTGGTGACTAGAAAGAGGGACAGTTAATTTGAGGGCTGCTCTGCTTCTAAATACCTTCAGTCTTTATTAAGTTATGGAATCATAGAATTATAGAATGGTTTGGGTTGGAAGGGACCTTAAAGATCACCTAGTTCTGACCTCCCTGCATGGGCAGGGGACACCTCCCACTAGACCAGACTGCTTAAAGTCCCATCAAATCTCTCCTTGAACACTTCCACTTCCAGGGTTGGGGCATTCCTTTTCATGCTTTTAAGTTTTGTTCCCCACAATTATTCTGCATATTTGAGGCTATCTTGTGTTTTGGAGCATATCTTTCAGCAAACAGCAGGTGCTTGACCTGTCTTCTTTCTCCATTTACATGGGAAAATAAGCCATTCCAAATCTCTTTATGAAGTCCCTTATTTCCAGCTGTGCAACTGTTCAGTCAGCCTGGCATGCTGCAGGTGGACAGGGGAGCACAGTGCTCTGCCCCTCCCAGCTACCACTTTCTACAAATTGATGAACACCAGTCAAATATTGCCAAACCCATAAGAGTAGATGCATACATAAAGGCAGCTTAATCCTTTTCAACCCTATGCATGACTGAGCTCGGCCGTGGCAATGTATGCCATCAAACAAGCAACACAAGTTAGAGAATTATGCTCCTTTCACCTCTGTTTCGGAGCCTGCATTTGAAGTGCATTCTCATCTATACCATCTGGAGACCAAATAATAGACCTCGACTGTGAATTTTTATTTATTTTTTTAAGTAAAAAAACAATGCTTTAAGAGTTACATGTGAAACGTTCATTTAATAATCATCCCACTGAAATGGTCTCTGCTGGGTGGAAGGGACCTTAAAGATCACCTAGTTCTGACCTCCCTGCATGGGCAGGGGACACCTCCCACTAGACCAGACTGCTTAAAGTCCCATCAAATCTCTCCTTGAACACTTCCACTTCCAGGGTTGGGGCATTCCTTTTCATGCTTTTAAGTTTTGTTCCCCACAATTATTCTGCATATTTGAGGCTATCTTGTGTTTTGGAGCATATCTTTCAGCAAACAGCAGGTGCTTGACCTGTCTTCTTTCTCCATTTACATGGGAAAATAAGCCATTCCAAATCTCTTTATGAAGTCCCTTATTTCCAGCTGTGCAACTGTTCAGTCAGCCTGGCATGCTGCAGGTGGACAGGGGAGCACAGTGCTCTGCCCCTCCCAGCTACCACTTTCTACAAATTGATGAACACCAGTCAAATATTGCCAAACCCATAAGAGTAGATGCATACATAAAGGCAGCTTAATCCTTTTCAACCCTATGCATGACTGAGCTCGGCCGTGGCAATGTATGCCATCAAACAAGCAACACAAGTTAGAGAATTATGCTCCTTTCACCTCTGTTTCGGAGCCTGCATTTGAAGTGCATTCTCATCTATACCATCTGGAGACCAAATAATAGACCTCGACTGTGAATTTTTATTTATTTTTTTAAGTAAAAAAACAATGCTTTAAGAGTTACATGTGAAACGTTCATTTAATAATCATCCCACTGAAATGGTCTCTGCTGGGTCTTGGAAGACTCTCCTAGGTCAAAACAAACCACAAAAATAATTTGGGTGTAGATCCCTCAGCCCAAATGTGGCTAATCCTGCTCTAGCTGCCCGTCTACAGTGCCAGCAGGTCTTTCCCAATGGCTACGTATCAGGTCATTTATATGAAGCTGAATAGCTTGAACAGATGATGACAAAAGATAGCCCCACCATTAGAGTATGCACCTAAGCTCTGAAAGATCTATATTAAAGCTCAGGCTCTGAATCATGAGGTAACTTGAGCTGCATGTCCTGCCTCGCAGGCATGTGTTGTGACCACACATCCATTGTCTGTCCCAAGGATGGGTGTCTCTTCTTTCAATGTGGAAAATGTGAGAATGTCAACTGTCTGTTTTCTGGGCTGAGGGGAAACAAATGTTTAAGTCTTGACAGTTTTGAAACAGGTTTTCAAATTTTTTATTTCCCAACAAACTGGAAACCAGTTTAAAAATAAAGGCTTTAACTCTTGGATGTCTTTGGACTCAGACTTCATTCATCACAAGTAGCCACACTTCACTGAGCTCTTGCCAATGCTGATCACTGCAGAACTCTGAATGAATAAACAAGTTTCTTGTTTTCCAACCTTTTTTTTTTAATCTGGATGTATTTATAGGTTTATGTGTTTAGCAACTTTAAAGGATGTTTTGGTGACAGCAGTGGGATATAGCATAGGTAGCTGACAGTTGTTTTCCCAGTGGAAAAAAAAAATAATAAAAAGAAACAGCAACTTAGACTCTTTCAAAATATAATTAAAACCATTTATAGCAAAACTACTATGTTTGGGGGAAAAAATGTAATCTATCTAAAGGACAAAAGAGCAGAGAGTTTGGCAATATTGAGAAACCTTCCAAGTTTGTGGGGAACTGTAATCTTGAAACAAAAGTCTTTAAACATGATAGGTTGCATACCTAAGAGCTCTCAGCGTGGAAAAACTCAACATTTTTTACATATTGAAATTTTTAAATGTATCTTCAAGGTCCACAGGGCTTGAATGATTGCTTTACAAATGTTCTGTTTAATAATGTTATGCATGTGTCAGCCCTTATGGCCATTAGAGAAATGCATTTATATTCTCTCCATCTTCTTAGCAAGTGTAGGTAGCAGTATTATGGACTAGGAAAGAAGTCAGATATATATTGATCAATTAAACAGATAAAAACGTATTAGCACACCTAGTTCTAGTGTACATAAACATAAAATTGTGCTACAGCTCTGGATCTCACTGTTTTGCAGCTACTGCTAGGTCAGCCTACAGATGAGCTTGCTTTTAATTTATGGTCTTTTAATGCACAGTATTTCCATGTTATTCTCCTAAAAGTTACCGTTCATTTTGGTACAACCTCATAAATGTGTTAAAAAATCTAAGGACTAGAACCAAGCAAAGTCTGCTTCCTTTAGTAGAATATATTCCAATTTCATGTATCAGTTGATGAAAGAAGCTGAAAAGAATGGGAGATAAAGTAGAGTCTGAGGAAAACCAGTCATAAGACTGTGTAAAAACAGATTCTGATTTTAGACATGTGGACCTCTAGGTATTTGCAGTTCTCATACTGTTTTGCATCATAGACTCTTAGGATTATTTCAGTTGGAAAAGATCCTTAAGTTTATCAAGTCCAACTGCTAACCTAGCACTACCAAGTCCCCCCTTAAACCATGTCTCTAAGCAGCACGTTTACAGATCTTTTAAATACCTTCAGGAGTGGTGTGTCAACCACTTCCCTGGGCAGCCTGTTCCAGTGTTTGACAACCCATTTGGTAAATAAACTTTTCCTAATATCCAATCTGAACCTCCTCTGGCACAACTATCCATTGCTCCTTCAATAGATTAGGTGGATAGGTAGGTAGGTAGGTAGGTAGGTAGGTAGGTAGGTAGGTAGGTAGGTAGGTAGGTAGGTAGATAGAGAGATAGATAGATAGATAGATAGATAGATAGATAGATAGATAGATAGATAGATAGATAGATAGATTAATAGATAGATAGATAGATAGATAGATAGATAGATAGATAGATAGATTAATATTGTATTTTATATATGGTGAAAGCTTTTAAATCTGAAGTGTACTGTTCTCAGGACAAATATTATGCCTTGGGACAAGCAATGAGCATCTAAAAGTTCCTATCAAGACCAGAAAGGGGCACAACAAGTCGAAGCGATGACATAACACTCAGCACTTGCCCAGGTGTTGCCAGAGTGCTACAGATGTGCCCTGCAGAGCCAAGTCCTTGCCTTGCGCGAGGAGCGGGGAGCGGGAGCCGAGCCTGCCTTCTCCCGCGGCCCCGGGAGGCTGGAGGCAGCCGAGTGGGTGGAACTGTCCTTAGTGTGTCCTGCTGTGGTCTGGGTCATGCAGCCGTGTTCCCCCAGCTCGTAAACTGTGAAGAGTGAGGAAATATATTGAATGCTTCATTCGCGTTTGGATAGCTTTAGACACTCGTTCTTGTGGTCGTGGAGAATGAGATCATTTCAGGGAAAAACATCCCTGTGCTTAGTTGTCCCATCAGCACTTACCAGCCCGCAAGTATTCTACTGTCTCATAACAGACCATGTCAGCCTGAAAAGACTGGTATTTGGAACTGGATGTGCTTCTTCATGGTTCATTTCATTATTTAATTTAATTTCATTTCATTATTTCTTTGAAAAATTTCTGCCCCAAGTTACTCATTTTTGGCCAGTGTCAGGATCAGATATACTACATTTTGCCTGTATTGCAAACATTTTTCCTGTGTTTCAGTGACTTGCTTTCTGTATCAAATTGTCATTCACAGTATCCTGACCTGTTTTCTTTTTCCTCCTAGCTTACAGAAATGCTGCAGAAATAGTTCAGTATGGAGTGAAAAACAACACCACCTTTCTGGAATGCACCCCCAAATCTCCTCAGGCTTCTATCAAATGGCTACTACAGAAAGACAATGACAGAAGGAAAGAGGTGAGTAATGTGAGCAATAGCTCTGGAAGGCACCTCAGTCAGGATCAAAGTCACTTCCTAGATGAAGATGGAGCGTTTGTGTTTTCATCAGTTTGACTACAGGGAAGCTGAACTTATGTGGATGCAGGACAGTGACCAATACCAGACTCTTCAATAGAGCTGAGACTTCACTCCTTAGCCCCGGTGATTTCTATCAGACCAGAACAGCTATCAGAAAATTCCTGTCAGCCTGTAAAGTCAGAAAACCAGTTAATGAATTTTTCCTTCACACTTTACTAATTGCAAGCTGAAGATTTGCAGCACTCAAGAGTATTGATCTGAGGAAGCAGGCATAAAAGCAATAACCTGTATATAGTCTAGGAAGAAGTCAGCATGCAGTAGCCCTTCTGAGGTATTGAACAGAGAAAAGGAAGAACTGGGGGAAATGCGAAAGGTTTCTTTATCAAGAAACTAGTCCAGGCTAAGAACATGTATTGACAAAAGCATTTCCCCACCATGGTGCAATCACATTTTCCATTACTGCACTCTCTAAGGGTCTCAAGTTTCAGCCCTTGTGTGATACAGTGTGATTGTTTATGGGGAATGTGCCTTTCTTAAGTAATATAAAAGGGGAAAAAATCCATTTCAAATCCAAGGCAATTACTGTATAAATAAAAAGAAACATGTTTTGAAATTAAATATTAAGTAATATGGTGCCTCTTGATAGATTATAAATACTGAAAAACTTTATTTTCCTATTAGGCCATTTTCCAAAATCAGAAAGGACTTACAAGCCTTTTTCTGAGTCTTTCATGCTCTTTTTCTCATGTACTCTTCAAAGACTCAAGCCATACCCTGGCAACCTAGATACAATTCTTTAACCCTTTGCTTCAATAGAAATCTTTGTTTTTTGCTCTTATCTTCAATAACTGTATTAGAATTAAAGGAGTTTTAAATAATAACAGACAAACCAAAGCAATCAAAGGGTTAATTACATTTCCAGCTGTCAGATTTCTGAAAATCTTACCTCCACAATGTCTACAAATGTGTACACTAACTGAATAGCCTAATAAATAAATTCCCAAGAGAATCAAGTATAATTCAATGCACTTGTGTTCTTTTGCAATGAGTTAAATCAGCAATTTTTACTTAATGGCTGATATGGAAAGGGACATTCACAGTAATTTATAATCAGATGATAACTCCACAAGCTGTGGTAACTTGCCTCCTTCAGATGATGTGACCATCTCCTGGGACTGTCCAGACCTTGAAACCAGAAAGGAAAACAGAAGAGTAGAAAAATTGCCCTTGGCTTCCAATGAGCCAAGGAGTAGCTGAGGCCACTGCACTAAAAGCTTTTATACCAAGCTAAAGACCCTGCAGTGGAAACAGTGTTCTTCAGAAGTTAGCCTCAGGAACCTGCTCAAAGTCAAGTATTTAACTAGAAGCCACCTCAAGTCTGATGACAGCTCAACTCCCAGTTCTGCACCTTTCTTCCGTCAAGTCTTGATGGCAGTCTCTGATGTAGGAAGAGTCATTCTCCGGAGTGTACCCTAGCATATAAAACTTCATTTCCTCAACTCTGCTTTTGGAACATTAGGAAAACTCTTCTTTCATGTACTCTCTTGTTTTGCTATCTTTGTTGTCATACTGCTCAGATCTATTGTAACATCATATACAAAAATAATTTATACAAAAGTAATTTTCTTTAGTGACATTGCCTACATTGAGCTAAGTTCTCTCCTAACAGTAATAGAAGCAAAAACCTTTAAGAAACTGTTTAAGAGATAAAGAGCTGTTTGAAGTGAGACTTACCAAGAGTTCCACTACGATGTTGTTCTACAACGTTCCCTGAAATGTTCCTTCTCCCTTTTTGCCATTTAGGTCAAGCTGAATGAAAGGATCATAGCTACTGAGCAAGGACTCCTCATTCGCTCTGTCCAAGACAGTGACCGGGGGCTTTACCACTGCATTGCAACAGAAAACAACTTCAAGCAGACCTTAGCAAAGATCAATTTCAAAGTGTTGGATTCGGAGATGGTGGCTGTCATGACTGACAAGTGGTCCCCTTGGACCTGGGCCAGCTCAGTCCGAGCGCTGCAGTTCCACCCCAAGGACTTTGTGGGAGCTTTCAGCCACTCAGAAATGCAGATGATTAACCAGTATTGCAAAGACAGTAGAATACAAGGTCAGCAGAGGGAAGAATCCCAGAAGATGAGAGGAGACTACAGCAAACTAAAGGCCCTTATCAATAGCAGGAAAAGTAGAAACAGAAGGAATCAATTACCTGGTTCTTAATTTTATTTTGTAGTAATAGATATCTTTGTCCTCACTGTAGAGGGCTTATATTTGTCTGTTGAGAACAAATTCGAGCAAATCTGATAAAAAATAAATGCAAATCCAACAAGCCTCAGAAAAGATCCTTCTCCCAGTAAGAAGCAGTGATGCAGTGTAACTTAACTAAAGAAAATAATTCAGAGCATTTTCTTTCCTAGATGCTTACTGACTGACACGAGGTTGGGCTCTGTCCTAGAGGCAGAACTGGGTATTCATCTTAAACCAGATTCACCTTTGGCATCTCAGTATTTAATTACAGCTGAGTAGAAAGTTTTACAAAATCAATGCCTTTTCTTGCATCTCTGGAACTGTACCAATCAGATTGGTGGTGAAAGAATCTGGGTTAAGATGAATGCTCAAAGTGAGATGGTACTATGATTTCCTTGCACTGCAGAAAATTAGTTTCTTCTTGTTTACTGTTCAGTATTTGGTTTACAGCTTTCACTCATTGCTCAAATCATGTGAATGCATGCTGATGGGAAGCAAGTAAAAATAGTAGAAATGTTTCATTCAGAGGTCAAATGAAGGAGTAAGTAGAAGAAAAACAAAACAAAAAATTAATTATAATTTATCAGAGGAAACACTGATTACTATTACTGTGCATAGTGTGAGTTGTAATAAATTAATGAGTTCTGGAATGTATAAAATACCTGCTCATATTGATTTTTATTAAAATAGGGTGTCCTGTAACACTACATAGCTTTATAAGTGGCACAAAACTAACATAAGAATGTTCAGTATACATACAATTTTGAAAAAACACCTAAGTGACTTAGGTGTTATAGCTGTTGTTCAAAGAATTACTCTCCAATTTTTTTCAAAGAACAGCAGGTGGGTATACTGTTTACTCAGAAATATATAGGTTATCTGTTCCATGATTAAATTGGAGCTGCTCTGCAATGTGGAAACAAGTCATGAGTGTCTTTGAAAATTTTAAACATTATTTTTTCAACTGTTTTCTCACAATTGCAAATATTTTAACTAGAATTTTACAGTCTTTGTACCCTTTTTCTCTTAATTTTTCATTATTTCCTCTTATTTTCACTTTTCTGCTGAAAAGATGAGGAAAAGAAAAATGTTAAAACAAAAAAGAGGAATGAGGGGAAAAGACAACTGAAAAATGTGTTTGGGTCAAAAAACAGAAAGTATAATAACTGGGGAGACACTTTTAAACAGAAATATTTTTGTTTAAGAAACAGCAAGTGTAACGAAGTATGTTTAGTTGAAAATTGAGTAAATGTGCATCAAGCCATCCTGGGAATTTATTTTTTTTTTTTTTGAGCCACACTAATGCCAAAAAACTAGGGACAAATCTTCCTCAGTTTAGTAGGTAACAGTGTTCTGGAAGCCACTGAGCCTGTTCAAAAGAGACAGATAACAAGGATTTAAAAAGTATGAGAAATATTGTGATTTATTCCATGGTATTTTATGATAGTATTTAAAAATATATTAAAAAATAAATAAATAATAAGAGGGAAATGATTTCTGGATCTAGAAAGGTAAGAAAAATTCATTTTGAAAAGTTGTTCGTTCCACCCAGTAACAGATGAATACTGTATTTTAAAACATAGTTTTAAACATTGCAACGGGTCTTTGGTGAAACTCTTTGGGCATTATTTTGATTCTGCTTCTATTAGAATACTTTGGGAGTAACTCTACAGGGTGTAGGAGAACACTCCTGGGTTTCTACCGGTGTGAATTAACATCTAGTGCAGTGGAGTTAACTGGTATTTACCCGAAGTCAGTTAAGATGTGTCCCTTTATCACCACCCGATGCCGAATACCTGGGAAATGGGCCCTGATTGATCAAACCAGTTAAACACTAAGTCCCTTTGCCACTGGTGAGAGCTCTTGGAATTTAATTTGTATGCTTACTGCTTGCTTCAAAGTGTGGGGGGTAGTTGGGGCAACTCCATCCTGCACATGTATATCCATCAAGTTAAGTGCTTTCCTGAAGCAAGGCCTAGAAGTCTGTTTCTGCAATATGTAGCCACTGGTATCTGTGGTCCTTCTTATGGAAACCATTGGGAAACTTTCATTTCAGTGAGCTTGGATGTGGCCCCAAGAGCTGGCAAAGTGGACTCTGGGGAAAAAAAAAAAAAAAAAAGGAAAATTAGATGGGTAAGGGAAGTAAGATTATTTTCTTCCCTAGCTGACTTCCACTGCAGCAACCTACATTTTTTTCTTACTTTTTTCTTTTTTTTCTGAGGATGACTGACTTCTGAAGTGTGTAAGTGACAAGCCAAAAATCAAGTGCCACGAAATAGAACTACCTCCTGGAATGACATTAGTGCATATATTCTGTATGATGCCATGCTCTTCCTATTTCCCCAGTGGATTTACTGCAGAGTTAGTGTGATATTAATGTCTATTGTGAGGATTATAATTGCTTCCAGATGGAATAGAGTGATTAATAGATATTTAAGGGTACAATTAACTCTTTAAGTGGTTAGGTACAGTGATGTTTTAATAGGCCCCCATTAGGCCTCAGAAATTACCGTTACACTGTTTTCTAGTAGACTATTGGCAATAAGGGATTCCGTTAAAACAATCAGCATAGCTAAGAGTTTCACATGATTATAAAATAATATTTTTAAAGCTGCTTCATATACCATTATTATGGTATGACTGTTTAAGGGATTATACTTTAACATTTTTCCTGCTGCATGAAAACTTCAGCATACACATAATAAGCTTCTGTCAGTGCATAACCGGTCCAAGCTTCCATACTGTAGTAGCCCTCCCCTGTGTATACAGTAACCAGGAGCCAGATACTCAGCTGATACAAACTAATGTAACTTCCTTGCTGTCCATTTAGCTACTGTGGTTTATACCAGCTGAGAGTTTGGCCCTAAATGTACAGAATAGACAAATGGCAATTTTTATTTGTTTAAAGTAGCCCCTCTACTGTAGGTGACACCAAAACTTAAGACTGTAATATTGTTTGTGCTATTTAATACTTCCTATTTTGAGAATTACTAAATAATGTATATAATTTTATTCCTTAAAAAAATACAAAAGCAAAGTTACTTCTAGGCATAACTTCACCAAATGTAAAGATATGTTCTCTGCTACGAACTTCACTGTGTACTGGCGCGCTTTTTTTTTTTTTTTTGGCTATTTTTATTTTGTGTAGTTTGTAAAGTTTGCTGATATCTTGACCTAACAATGTGTTCTTTGCAATTGTTGTTACTGTAGATATGCGTGTTTTATTAAGAAAATCTCATTTCTAAAAGTGTAGGTATGTGTATAAGTTCCTAGCATGATGAAACTGTCGTTACAGTGAATATGCATTATATAGTGTATAAGAAAGAACAAAATGTAGTTTAACATAGTGCTATTTAATTGAATATCTAAAATACTATTTGCCTGACAAAATAAAGTGTGTTGCAATGACTTAACAAATTTGTGGTTTTCCCCTTTATAGATGTGTGTTAAAAATAAGGAACTTCATTTTCTTTCTGAAAAGCGATCTCATTGACTTTCTTAAACAAGTCCAAGAAAATCCTGGAAGCATCAGGTATTGATTGCAGCTGATCAGCTTTGAGCCCTGCTCTGGACTAGGCATTCAGTCACAGAGATTTCCAGAAATTTGTGAGCAGTCAAGAGATAAAGACCTTGCATATAAGCAGCTTAACATTGATTTATTTATTGCAAAAATAATTTTTTAAAAATTGGTTTTCTACTAGAAGTATAAAATCAATCAAAAAGGCCTAAAAAAGTTAAGAGTAAATACTTTTTGCTTTTATTCCACTGAGAAAACAAACAAACAAAACACCAAAACAAAACCAAACAAATCCAAATACATAAAAAACCCAAAACCCAACCAAACGAACGACCAAGCACATTCAGAGAAATCCTGCTAATTAAACAAATTGTGTTGTTCAGCTTTTTCTTTCAGCTGGGAATGAAGGCATTCTCCAAGCAGCTCTGCAGGGGAGGTGGGCTGGTGGGGCTGTGCTGCAGGGAACTGCAGCTCTCTCCTATTTCCTAGCTTGTCCATGGAGTGAAATAACCTGCCCAACACCTATAGTGTGCTCCTTTTTCCTATATCTGTCATCCAAGTGGTGTTATTAACCACTCTTCTTATTGTCTGTTTTTCCAGATCGGTTTTAAAAAGAAAGCACAGGGCCTCCTCAGTTCTTTGGGATAATAATTAAAAATCAAATGTCACAAATCCTGACCTTCACAACAAGGTTTTGGATCATTAAACCCAGATTTCAGTTTCCCAGATAGATAGGTTCCTGCAAGGCTTTATGAGGTGCGAGTGGATAAGATTACCTCATTCCAGGATTTCCGTACTGGCTGGTTCCTAGATGTGCTGACACTGGATTGTTACCTGCTCAACACTCAGGCCAATTTGGATCGGAAGCTGAGACTTTGAGCACTCCCACATGATTTATGAAAAGTATGGATTAGACTCCAAAAAAACTGGGTATTTACAGAGTTTTACACTGATAAAATTTTCCCAGATCTGATCCTCTCTCTTCGTATCAGTTTTCTTTCACTGATCTTCTCCTGTTTCTCTTGCTTTCCTCCTCCTGTGGGGTTACAGCATGGTTCAATACTTGCTGCTTTGATTCCTTAGCTCCAAGCAGCAGCAAAACATGACACAGAACTTCTCAGAACATCAGATGTGAGATCTTCAAACACCTGAACTTTCTCTCCTTTGTCTTTCAAATGCCTTTTGAAATTTTATTTTTTTCCATCTGGGAGCTGCTGCCCTTTCTGAGGTCTCTCTTCTAAGAGAGATCTCTTCTGAGACCTTTCTAAGATCTCTCTTTACCTTTGATGATCTTTAAAGATGATCTTTACCTGAGATCCTCCTTTACAAGGATGCAAAACATGGACATTCACAAGGAACCCTGCAGGACAGAGCAGTGTCACGTGCAGCCTCTTCTGTAGCCACAGAAGCCCACAGGGGACCATCAAAAACTGTTGCCTGCATAGGAAGCACTGCTAACAATGGGGTAGCTCCCAGTGCTATAGGGTGATTGTTGCCTCTGAAAGCAATTGTTGA